AGAAAGAGTGTCTAGCAAAGAGTGTCAAGAGAGAGTGTCAAGCAAGAGTGTCCAGCAAGAGTGTCTAGCAGAGTGTCAAGCAAGAGTGTCCAGCAAGAGTGTCAAGCAAGAGTGTCAAGAGAATGTGTCAAGAAAGATTGTCTAGCAAAGAGTGTCAAGAAAGAGTGTCAAGCAAGAGTGTCGTGTCAAGAGTGTCCAGCAAGAGTGTGAAGCAAGAGTGTCCAGCAAGAGTGTCAAGCAAGATTGTCAAGAACAAGTGTCAAGAAAGAGTGTCTAGCAAAGAGGGTCAAGAAAGAGTGTCTAGCAAGAGTGTCAAGCAAGAGTGTCCTGTCAAGAGTGTCCAGCAAGAGTGTCTAGCAGAGTGTCAAGCAAAGAGTCGCAAGAAAGCAAAGAGTGTCAAGAAAGAGTGTCACGCAAGAGTGTCCAGCAAGAATGTCTAGCAAAGAGTGTCCAGCAAGAGTGCCCAGCAAACGTGTCAAGGAAGAGTGTCTAGCAAAGAGTGCCCAGCAAACGTGTCAAGCAAGTGTGGCAAGCAAGAGTGTCTAGCAAAGAGGGTCAAGATAGAGTGTCTAGCAAAGAGTGTCAAGAAAGAGTGTCAAGCAAGAGTGGCCAGCAAGAATGTCTAGCAAAGAGTGTCCAGCAAGAGTGTCAAGAACAAGTGTCAAGAAAGATTGTCTAGCAAAGAGTGTCAAGAAAGAGTGTCAAGCAAGAGTGGCCAGCAAGAATGTCTAGCAAAGAGTGTCAGGCAAGAGTGTCAAGAAAGAGTGTCAAGAAAGATTGTCTAGCAAAGAGTGTCAAGAGAGAGTGTCAAGCAAGAGTGTCCAGCAAGAGTGTCTAACTGAGTGTCAAGCAAGAGTGTCCAGCAAGAGTGTCAAGAACAAGTGTCAAGAAAGATTGTCTAGCAAAGAGTGTCAAGAACGAGTTTCAAGCAAGACTGCTTAGCAAGAGAAAGTCTCTTGGAAAATGCTCGTTTTTGGAAACTTTGATTGTCGCTTCTGGGGAAAGTCTCGTGAAACATGCTTGCTGCAGCTTTTGATGCGCTGGCGCTCCTTCTGCTGATGACTTTGCGAGTCATCCAAAGAAAAGGTTTTGATTGATACACTTTTGTGCCTTTGCATTCTCCTCTATACATGAGTGACTGCATTCGGGTTCGTGGGTTCTATCAGGTTTCTTCCGTACCCAGTGCGTGCCTGCTTTCGTGCGTATCAGAGGAGTGGCAATGGGAGCTTGGACGTGAGGTCGGGAACTCAAGCCCCGCACAGTCTTTGCCTTTACGGTCTGTTCCACATGTAAGTCAGTCCAACACTGCCTCATCGACTGTCCTAAGCTCGCTAAATCCTTTAGCGACGATCTATTTGCAAGACACCAAGCAAAACGCAAAAAGTCAAAAAGTATCAAAAAATGATAAAAATCAAAAAGGTAAAGGACACAAAAGCACGCAGCGAGACTTTTCGACTTTTCGAGATTTTTTGACTTTTCGACTTTTCTCACGTTTCGAGACTTTTTGACTTTTCGAGACTTTTTGACTTTTCGACTTTTCTCACTTTTCGAGACTTTTTGACTTTTCGACTTTTCGAGATTTTTGGACACCAGTCACATGCCGTGCCCTTCAACAAAAGTCTAGCAGAATTGATCCAAACGTTGCTTTTGCTCCTACAGATATAGGTATAGGTTGCTGTTTTCCAGACATCTCCAGCCGTGTCAAAGTGAGTCAGCCTCGAGCAGGAACGCCTTCAAAACAGAGACGCTTGCCAAAAGGACCTGGCAAGCCCCAGGACCTTTTGGCGGGTGACACTTTTTATCAGCGTTGCCTTTTCGTGCACTTTTCGACTTTTCGCGACTTTTCGACCTTTCGCAAAAAGTTCGGAAAGCAAGTAGATCCAGCTCACACGTGCCTGACGGCCTCATCTTGTTTTTGCATCGACTGACTGTAGCATCTGTAGCTGCTGGGCTCGGATCTCTTTTCTGCGAGGCCAAACATTTGGACAAGGAAATTGCAAAGATTCAGAAAGATGAGGCCTGCCTTCGGTGATCTTTGGGTGTGTTTCAGCTGATTTATCGGAGAGAAGAGAGATCGGAGATGCACAGTCTCAAATCAATTGAAGCATCGGAGATGCACCTGCCACCCGCTTTCCTATGATGGCAAGAAATACGGCTTTCAAATGTTTCAAGGAGCACCTCAATGTTGTTTAGCAGGCACGTGCATAACGGTGTTCTACGTATCTTTTGAGCTATCTTCGAGCATGCAGCTCTTCAGAAAGTCTTTTTTTTTTCCGCTTTATTCGTTGGGAACCCAGCTTTCCAAGGCGAAGTTGCAGGAGCAGATTCGTGCACAGGAGCGGACCTTCACAGTCTGACCAATCGCTCGAAGCTGCATCGAGTTCAGGCTCAGAAGGGCAATGTTGACGCAGTGCAGCTTCTCGCCAAGTCGAAAGCCGAGCGAAGCACCTGAATCGTCCAGTTGCTTCAGTCCGAAGCTGAAGCCGCTGAGGTCAGTGGTGAAAACGCGAAAAGCGGTGCAAAGGCTTGAGAAGACCAAGGTAGGGTTCTTCGGAAGGACAAACCATGGATTCGTTTTCTTCATCTTCGCAACTCGCCCCGCTTGGCACTCTTTCGAGTTGGAGAGTCGAATCGTGAATCCTTCCGACAACACAAAGTGCTTTTGGGCAAGAAGTGAGGGTTAGCTTCTTGCTCCTAGTGGCAATGCCAGGAGCCCCTAGTAGCGTTCTTGTTCCTAGTAGAAATGCCCCTTTCCTCCAGCGCCTCCAGTATCTCCAGGCTTCCATGGAAGCCGTCAAGTTGCAGCTCACCACGCACATGGCCTCCATCAGCACCTCCCAATCGATCCGTCTCTCTGCGTCGCTGGGCAAATCGAAGGTGGTTGAGCTAGTCATCCTTCATCTCTGCAGTTTTGTGGAGAAATGTAGGTTGGAGGCCATCGGCCATTGCTATTAGGTTGGATTAGGTTGGAGGCCATCGCTTCTAGGTGGGAGGCCATCGACTCTAGGTTGGAGGACATGTGGAGTTTAGAGGTGGCACCATGTGCCAGCATGTCATCTCAAGAGACACATTCAAACCTTGTGCATTGCCTGAGAAGTCGCATGCTAAACAACCACATTTGATGACCTTGACAGTGATGTACCGAGGGACATCATGAAGAAGATGAATGCAATTGCTCGAATTCCAGAGGTTAGTGAGACAATGAAGGAGTGGGGGGAGACACTGAGTGCTCACACTTCATTCAGCTGCTCATCCATTTGGATTGTGAAGAAAAAAGTGCAATGTGAGTGAAAAGTGATAAGCTCCTCCACGTGAGTGCCATGTGGATGTGAGGACATGCGAGAGCAAATGGAAAAGTGTGCTGATGCCGAGGAGAGGGCACTACTGATGGCTGAATGGTCACTTGATGTCACTTGGTTTTCTCTGTTTCGCTTCCAGGAGAGCATTGAAGAAGCTCTCAGAGAGGATGGCGAAGAGAGCGAGGCAATCCACAGTTGGAAAAGAGGGCACATGTGTCTCCTCGGTTGGAGCCCTCCCTGGCTCCATGGACTCATATGGACTCCATGGTTGTGAAATCATGTTTCAATGCCCTCGGCCTCGATCTTCCCAAACATATCCCTTGAAGAACATGGAGATAGGGGATCAGCCATGCACTTCTGAGAAGTTGGCATCTGGTTTTCCAGTCTCTTCAGGCAGCTGTCGAAGTGCAGAAGGTTCTGGAGGATGGGCGACGACCGTCGGTCGACAGTCCTGTCGTTTCTCAAAAAACGATCTCGAGACGACCGGGGTAGCTGAAGACGCTGTTTGGACACGTGGAGAAAGTCACAAAATCATCCAAACATCCATAAAACTTTCAAGACATCCATCATCCTGAGAGGAAATGGCCCTAGATCAGCTGGGGCCACTGGCGCAAGGGCGTGCAGTGGCAGAGCCGGCCAAGGAGAGACACCGCAAAAGCTACCACTGGGTGCTTAGCTGGAAGTTTGCGGGACCTAGACCTTGAGCATTTCAACTAAAAGATACGTAGGTGAATTTGTTCTTTGCTTGGCACCCAAATCGGCTTCAAATTCAATTTCTTCAAATGTCAGTTTGCCCAGAAAATGCTGCCAGAACTGAACAATCAAGGACAAAGATAGACAACATCCTGCGGGATTGTCTTTGTGAGTCTTCTTGGCCAGGCAGCACCCGCACCTGAGCCCGAGAAGCCCCAAAAGGTCGCGGTGGCTGTGGGCGAGGCGTGGGGAAAGCGATGAAATGGATGAAATGGAAGCAAACATCAGGCTTACTATGTCAACACTCAGTTAAAGCCTGTTCTTCCCTGTTCTTCCCACATGTTTGCATTTCGCCTGTTTAACATATTTGGACACAGATCCTTGAGCTGTCAGAGACTCCTCGAATTGCAAAGCCGAAGGTCTTGGCCTTCCAACCCCCCTACAAACTACTTTTTCATCTACATACTGCCATGTTCTACTTTCTTTTGCCTCAAGCCTTGCTACTATCACTTACCATATACTTTGTGTTTTAACTTCATGAGCTTAAATGAATCGGGGCGCTACAGCACCAGGAGCCGGAGCTGGTGAAGCCGGCAGCTCCTGCTGCTGCAAAGCCAGCACCTGCACCAGCTCCAGCCCCAGCCCCTGCACCAGCACCAGCAGCGCCGCCAGCAGAGGCGGAACCTGGGATGATCGTAGTGATTTGTTCGGATCTTGAGAAAGATGCACGCAATTCCCCAACCCCACCTGACACGTTCATTCTCACCCTGTTCAACTGTTCTGGTTTCTTTGAACGTATCCCTTGAGCTGAGAATTCAGTCAACAGGTCGCTCCACCTCCAGCGGCAGGATATGCAGGTGCAGATATTTGGACACTTTTCCACAGGTAGTTAGAAGAAGACATGAAACCTCTCAAAAGATACATGTTGCATCTACAACACTCACTGAATACGGCATGGCTTCTTTGTGTTTGGTATCTCAACCCTGCTGCAGACCCCACCGTGCCTGTGGCACCACCAGCTGTAGCACCAGCTGCACCAGCTGTGGCTGCAAATGCTCCAGCATCAGGTTGGGAGAAGCCATGGAAGTCATGATGACGCTGAGCAACCGCGTGGGTGAATCGTTTTGGGGTTCAATCCAGGTAGCAGCTTGGACGACGATCTACTGCGTCGCTTGGAGTTCGGGCCTGATGTATATATATATATATGTATACATATACACGGGCCAATGGGGTTCACACCTTCGCCGCTCACAAGTTGGATGGTCTTCGGATGATTGCACCTCCTGAGGATGCTAAAAAAGCCATGAGTCAAGGGCAGAAGGTGTGAAGCTCAGTGTGCCTCCGGGAGTCAACTTCATATACTTTGAGTGACCAAGTGGCAGGTCAATCTGATAATCTACCATTACTGTAGTGTTTTTTCTATTTTTTTTAAAACAGTGACTTTGTATGTTGTGCTGAAGGTGTGCCTTTGCGCAAACAAGGGCCCACGACCCAGTTCCAATGAAGCGCATCCACAATCTTGTGCGTACAGTATAAGAATGGTGATTGCCTACCTATCCACCTGTAAATTCGTCAAGAGTATCTACTGCATCCAGCCTTGTCATTTCGAAGGGTATGAATGGGGCTGTCCTTTTACCTGTAACAGTCGGTAAACAATTATATATCACTATTTTAGAGAAAGACCTTAACTAACCATCACCATCCACTGTTACTAGAAATGAGATGATAGACCCAAGGTATAAATCTAGACACGAGCAGATTCTCTAAGCGCGATGCATGGGATGGGCCTCTCCACTTGGCAAGGTTTGCGCTCTTTTGCCGAAGAAGAAACCATGTACAGGGCTTCGCCACTTCACCCGTGTCAGCTGAAGCCCCAGATGCGTCGTGCTTGGACGGCAGTTGGATGCGCTTATGACTTATGACCATGTTCTCACCATATTCTGTCCGGCCAAGGTCTGATGCGGGGCTCAGTATCACCAGGCTTCTGTGAACGGTCTAGCAATTCTCGGCATCACTTGTACACGCAAAAATGGATGTTTCCCAATTCACAGATTTCAAGTGACTTCAAGGTCTCCAAGCAGAAGCCGTTGTTCAAAAGTACATAGGTTCCACGTCCTCAGTGAGGCTTGCGCCTGAGGTAAATAGTTTCTATCATGTGCAGTGGGCGTGGTCGGGACGGTAGTGGTCCTTCCAAAACCCATCCTGACCCTGGGCCCTTCAAGTTTACATGAAAGCTATCATTGTCGGTTCCATCACGACTGGGTGTAGCAGTCTGACTTGTTGGTTTGCTTAGGCCAGAATCGGTATCGGGGAGCGATCGCTCGTGTGCTAGTACGAGACCACTTGCAAGCCGCCACCCAGCTTTTCCATGCTTTTCCTGTTGACCCTACATTTTCTTTCATACTGTATCCATCCAGCAGTTTGATGTGCTTTGAGAATCGCCTGTGAGCATTTGAGGATATTTGAGGTGTACCTTAGCAATGAGATGCAATGAGCTGCTTTGAGTATTTCTGAATTAATCAACACCGACAGCATGACGGCTAGGGGCCAAGTCTATAATTGAAAGTACTATTGAAAGTATAGCCCCTAGCCTTCAATCGAAAATCCTGGAAACCGACAGGGTCCAAGGCCTCATCCGTCAAGCGTACACACGTTGAGAAGCGTATTGGTCGTGTACGACAAAGGTCAAAAGAGCCACGCCAACGGTTTTTTCCGCCTCTCCACGATCCATGGCGTTCCGCGTTCTCCGCGTTCCCATCACCGCGTTCGGCTTGGCCATGTACCGCGTTGACCGGAGGTCACCGGTGAGTCGATGCGAACTTCGAGTCGATGAGGTCACAGGTGAGGCTTTAACGGCCGAATCCAAAAATGCCACGGCGGCCGCGTATTCGAAAGCCAAGCTTTTCAGGCGCGACCCCTTTAGCGTGGAACCAAGCCGAAAGGTTTGTGTCTTGATTGGCATGACAGGTGTTGGCAAAAGTGCAACGGCAAATACCCTTTGTGGTGCCAAGCGTGCCTTTGAGACAAGTTCCTCCGTGGTCTCTGTCACAAGTGCTGTTAGAGTGCGGGACTACTCTTTCTCTGGCAGCCGTTGGCGCGTGATAGACACTCCGGGTCTCGGTGATACCAACAAAGCCTATGAGGAGACGAAAGCAGAGCTTTTGGAAACCTTTCGATTCGCTCCACATGGCATTGCTTCCTTTGTGGTGGTCGTTCCGAAAGGTCGCTTTACGAGCGAAATGGAACAACGCGTGCGGGAAGCTTTGGATATTTTTGGAGGAACCGAAGCGATTCGCCACACTATGATTGCAGTGACCAAATGTGCTGATGCACCCGAGAAGCTTTTGGATGATATCATGCATTTGCCTCCAGATCACACGCTTCGACGCCTATGCGAAATGGTGAGCCAACGTGTTTTGCCGATTGAAAATGTAAAGGAGCCAGCGATTGCGGTGTCCCGCTTGCTGCTGCATCGAGGAATCGACGAGGTTCTTGAGCTCAACAACGAGGAGAGATTCTGGGGAAGGTCTTCTGAATCTTTCAACAAACTCACTGAGCTCTCTGCAAGATCCTTCGGACTGGACAGCTTACCACAAGCTCGATGTTCCACTAAGTGGTCAGAGTTTGAGAGTTGTCCACGTCTGGTTATTGTTTGTGACTTTCCGAGTCCAGTTGTCAAAGGAGCAACATGACCTTTTGAAAAAGCACTCGCAACAGGCTTCGGGAGCTCGTTTTGGCATTCGTGACATTTGTCATATCGGCTTTGTGACGGCCCTGCAGATCGGAAAAGAGCAACATCATGATCAACCCACTCACAAAGCTCCGATGCTGACCTTTGCCACACCTTTCCCACATGTCCTTTTTATAAATAGCAGCTACGCTGTAAACACATGACTCCTATCTAAATGCCCCCAGTCTTTTTGCAGTTTGGAAGATAAACGAACGAATGCTGTAAGGTTGTCAGTCGATCCCCTCGATCGACTTCTTCGGCTCGATGGCGCCATGTCCGCTTCGACCAGCCACGCCTCACAGTTGGGCTTGGCCGCACTGTCACGGCAGCTGGCGGAGCAGCAGGGCTGTTTGCTCGCACTTACGGGCAAGCTACAAGGTGTGCAGGCGGGTTTTGGAGATGTTTCTCTTCAGCGTCGACGCCAAACCAACCGGGCCCCAAAGAGTAGAAAGGTTGAAGCTGTGTTTGGGATCTGAAGATTGCTGTTTCGAACAGTGCGGCTTCTTCAAGACGATTCGTCCCGGTTTCGAACCGGTTCGCATCCTGGCTCGGGGCCAATGTTTTTTTTTATGTTTTTTTCTTTGTTTTGCCTCATGAAAGCTTAAAGACCCTGTGAGTTAGACTCTGTATGACTCTGTTACCCTGTGTTGCTATGTATTATGTCACTATCTATATCTGTTCCTATTGCCACTGAGCTCAGTTGTTGTCTTCTCCGTTCGAGCGCAGGACTCCACCAGGCGCCTCAACGAGTTCGAGCTGCAGGAGGCCAAGGTGTGGCAATCTCGCTTGGCTGAAGCGGAGGAGAAGGCAGCAGAGCACTTTGCAAAGGACCGAGTTTGGAAATTTTGCGAAAACCACGAGAAGTACTTGAAAGATGTACTTGAAAGTAGTTTATGTTTTTGTGCTATTTGAGGTGATGTTGCATGTAACTTTTGACTCTGCAAACATGCAGTGTCTCGGCGTGAGAATTCCTCCAACCAGAATGTGGGCGCTCGATGTGCCGTTTTGGTACAGGTGCCGCATGCCTGTCTTCGGATCCCTTCCAAAAACGACGGGTCGTTTCCAACTGGCAAGTTCCATGGTTGTTCGGAATGACCGATTGCTGATCCACTGGGTGAGGTCGAGGAGGAACATGGCTTCAAGGAAGCAATCCATCGTGCACAGCAGCGAGTGCAGATGATGAAGGAAGTGAGCTCAAGCCACCTCTACCGGGAATGGCAAAGGCTTTTCTTTGCTCATCACCGTTCTGGAGGAACTTTGGACAACTTCTCCACAGTGACCTTCTTGAGAGAGGCGCTCAGAACCGCTTCACATGTAGAGAAAGATAGAGCTGCAGTGCACTGTAGATAGACAAAGCCAAAAAACGAACTTGCTCCGCAGGTTTGCGATGTAGTTCCTTTGTCAGAGCTTGCGGCCAAAGAAGCTGCTGCGGCAGAGCTGCATGAGGAAACCTCCCTGCTGGAGATAAGGCTTCGGAATATTGAGGACGAAACTTCCATCTCAGTTTTGTAGGGAGGGCCAGAAAGTAGAGACAAGTGATACGTAAAGACAAGAGTTCAGAAGCCACGCCAAACCACCAGACCACAGTGCCAGAATTCATGAAGTTGGACCTGCTCCCACTAGCAAAAACCAGATTTGTCCAGCAGGAAACTGAACTCCAAGCAGCTGCCCAAGCTGCAGAAGAGTCTGCAAAAGGGCGAATGCTTCGAGCAGAGCTGCAGGAGACCGTGTGAGTTGAGTTGGGTTGGTTCCGTCGTTGTGTGTCACGTCACAATCATTGTGTGGCTGCACCCAGATGGACAGGAACAGCAGGCGGTGAATGCTGGCTGGCGCTCTGGGCGCCTGCAAGACAGTGTCTACAAGCTGAAGCTCCGTGAAGAGCAGGAGGGCTGGTTGGGGGCCGTCGCTCTTAGGTTGGAGGCCATCAAAGACAGTTGGACGGTCCACTTCCATCCGATTTATGGAGGCTTGAGCTTCATAACAGTTTTATGTTCATTGCTCCATTTTGGACTTGGTTCATAGATGCAGTATGTTGCCGAGACCAACCACGTTCCATTGCGGAACAGCTGTGTGGATCCGAAGGATCAGCACCAAGGGCATGCCATGGAGCTGGAAAGGCAGCTGAAGGAATGCGAGGAACGGACATCAACTGCAGCACCCTAGCTGAATGGCTCTCACAGTCGGCCGCTTTCTTGAACTCATGCTTCGATTGCATGGAGCATAGTGATGGAGTTAGTGGTGTATGGCATTCTGAGGCTGCCAAAGCGCGGCTGTGGCGACACAGTGCCAAGCAGATGTATCAAGAGGTGACGAGCCATAGAGGTGAACAAGGGTTGTGAATATAGTATACGTAATTTGGGCAGGTACGTCTTTTGCAGATCGTCCCTGTTTCCGTCTTCATATCTTCATCAAACAGCATTAACAAAAGGTTGTTTCGCTGCAAACGGAAGGTGCAGCCATGCGAAGTTCGACATGGGGTGCTGGAGGACACGATTGCCATGATGCTCATGCTGCAAAGCACAGACATCACAGCACTACATTGTACATAAATCAAATTCATCAATGCAGACCAATAACAATGAACAACAATGAATCACAATCAAAGCAATGACTACATCATTCAATCATGCTTGTTGAATGAAAAACACGTTGTTACAAGATGATTGCGAGGGCATGATGATCTAGTCGTTTGTTTGAACGTTCCTCGCGACTTCGGACTGTGGAAACATGGCCGTCGGGGGTCGTGAGCTTGTGCTCTTGGAAGAGGAGCAAGTCGAGAACATGGCCAGTGGAACTGCCAAGCTTCAGAGAAAAGTGGCGCTTTGGTCTCAATTAATGATGAAGAACCAGTTATATTTGGTAAAAAAATCGCGTCTCTGCACTGAACGAATCATCCCATCACCCAGCTCTTGACAGTAGTTTATAAGCCAAGGAGAGTCAGTAACAGACCTATGATGACAAAGTGCCATTAATCAGTGATCACGATGTTGCTCTTCTAGCTACATTTTTTTGGTCGGGCTCACTTTACATAAGGATACTGAACACTCTGGCATGCTTATTTTGCTCGAGGAAATGCAGGAATTCCAACTGGGGCACCGAAACCTGGTACAGCTCTGGAGCTTGAGCCTCAATGTTTAACTCCAGGTATTGCAGTGTGCTTCATGGGGCAGATCAACCCGGTGGCCAACACCGACCACCTTCCATAGTGAGCAGCTACTGTAAAGGCCATTTGGGATCCTTTGGCTGGAGCTTACCAAACTTTCGTTTTTCCGAATGCCTGCCTGCAGGTTCAATCACAGCTGAAACAAGACTTGCAAGGTTTATGTAATCACAGCCCAGCTGAAATGCCTTGTGGGGCAAAAGAACAAAAGCTTGCCAGAAAGCTCTGCTGTCTCTGCGCTTCTCAGGTAGCGAGGCAACTCAAGCTGGCCGCATGGGTCAAGAACATCAGAGCCAGGCGAGTCGCGAGGAATGTGCAGATCAAGAGGAAGTCTTCGTTGCAAAAAAGAACAGTTCAACAGTTCCATGGCTTCAAGAAGCTGTGAAAAAGAAGTGCCAACAAGCCACAATCATTAAGCAACGGAACAAAACTGATACTTTTCAAACGAGGGTGGACTTGGATTGCGCCAGCAGGGACGTGACTCAAGCTTCCCACCAATGTGTGAGCGCGCTTAGCGGCGCTGGGATGTCTCAAAGTTGAGATCGTGTTTTTGTTCATGGGGCAGTTTGTTGGCTTGAACCAGCAAGAGCTGGATGAGGAACGTGCCAAACAGCTAGCCACCTTTGAACATTCGGAGTCTGTCCGGAAGAACTTCGAGAAGAAGACTCAGATCCCCCACATCCACCTGCGGCTTTGTTCAATCGGCTACTTGGAGCTTTGCGGGCCAGATCCTGGAGGGAACCTGGAAAGATTCGTGAAGTCAAGATGGCTTGCCGAAGATGCAGAATTTGTTTCGCGAAATGTCGTAGCAAGTGGCTCTTGCTGTTGGAGGAACAACCAGGAGACAAACTTGCCACGTGAGCCCATGGACTACGTGTGTGACAAGCATTTTGTCTTTGAGTTTCCCAAGACAGGAATTCAAGGCAGTGGTGCCTGTGGTGCCTTCATGGCCAAGTTCACTCTGGAGTTGATCGACTTGATGAATGACTGCTCGTGTGAGCTGATCTCCTGCAGTATGGAGAACCTGGACACCTTCAGGGAGGCACAGATCACGTTTCGATCACCTCACCAGCAGGGCATGTTGGGTCCTTGCATGATGGTGGCCATGAAACAATTGGGGTCTATTGAGCTGCTGGGGTCCAACACTGAAGGAATCCTGGATGAGTTGACTCGATACCTGCAGGATTTGGGTTGCGAAGCTGTGGGCAACGTGGCTAATTCTGAGCACGAGCGAGAGCTTCGAGCATCCTTCGCACGGCCATGTATCTCCAATTCCAACTCTGGAGACAATAACATGGGGCGAAGAGCAGCTGGGATCGTCAACTTTATGGCAAGATGTGGATGGTCCTTAGCAGCGCATAGCGAGTTGGACATGACTGGGGGCTTTGGACAAGGGCGAGAACGCAATCTGATCTTTCGCAAAGATTCTTGGTCTTCCAAAAACAAGACTGCAGAAGGCTAAGAACAGAGGAAAAGCGTTTGCAGTAAGGGTCCAAAGATAAGACAGCCAAAAGAGCCAAGAATAATTTGTCTCTGTTTCCGACGATTCCGCTCTCAGGATTCCCTCGGCTTCCAGGAGCATTTCATCGTGGAGCTCCAAAATTCTGGTCGAATCTACTTAAACGGTGATGCAGCTGGTGTGGAGTTGGCGGGTATGTTCTTTGGCTGCCATGGCTTTCAGTCCTGCTATCCAGAAAAGCTGTGTGATGCCCAGTACGTCGCCCCAGCAGGCTACTTCATTGATGACATGGGCACCAACCTCAGCAAATCCTCCGTGGAGCTTGTTGACTGGTTGAGTGGAAAAGGTTGGACTTTACGCTGCGGTGGTAGCATGCACCATCATCAGAGAGATGGCTCCATCAGGCAGGAACATCATTTGGTGTTTGCTCGGGTGCAGCAAAAACACACGACACCTTGGTCAGCTCTGGCTGTGGAATTCCGAGTGATTCCTCAGTCCTTGACTAGCTATTCTTGCGTTGTGGAAGTTTCTGGCGAGCAGACCTGTCAAATCTATGACAAGTTGCTTCTTTTCTTCACGCAAGACATGCTCTGTGAAGAGGTGGGCCAGGTGGCGCAAGCTCCCCAAGCGCAAGCTCATTGTGATCACCTATTGTCCTGCAACGCCCTGCAGGTCCGCGGCCTGGGCTTGCAAGCAGAGTCCAACTTTGGCAGGTTCAGCACGATGCTTTGTGACTTCATGGCAGACCACCTACATGAATGGACGCTGGTGAGCAATGTCGGTCAGAGTTATTCCACAACTTGGAAGGACGCCACGGACACTCCGGGCATCAGACTCTTGGCACGGCAGCAGCTTTTCATTTTCCTTTCAAGCTCACCAGCACCACTTCAGCAGAACATGAGTGGTGCACGCCGGTGATTGGCCCAAGATATCCTCTATGACGTGAGTTCAATGAGCCGGAGTGATGAGGGCAGCCTTGCATGATATTCGGCTGGCTTGTGACTCAGATAGTCCCTACCTTCTTGAAGTCGGGGACCTCTAGGAAATGTTACATTCTAAATACAGGGCAACACAGGATTTTTATTTGCAACCTTGCATTTTTGGACATTGGATTTATATAGTTGTAACTTCTGTTCGAGGACACATAGTCCTATTATATAAATATAAACGAAATGCAACTTACATTTGAGGACAACCCGCCTGAAGGTAAGGACACCAGACGATCCTAATGCGATTGACTTATTTGTTTGACGCTTTGGCTAAGCCAGTGCAATGTAATGTGTTATCAGTGTGGGGAGGGTGCCGAGAAGAGACATCCTCCAGATTTTTTAAATACCGCAGGCTGCAAGCAAAATCCAGCACTGTGCTGGGCTGCCAGAATGCTGGGCATGCAGAGCCAGTTTTGGTTTTGATCCCTGTCGCTCAAGAAGGTGTCGGGAAAAAGACTTGACAGCGCTGCCACGTGTACAGATTCCTCTCATAATAGTTCATTCTAAAGGCAGTGGATGTTGCTTGGACCGGGGCTAGAATTGGCGATGGGTTTTATCGACTTGAAGCAAGCATGTTTACAAACTTCTTGGGCTTTGAGTCAAAGCCAAACAGCCCATAAGACCTGTTCATTGGTTGACAATCCTTGAAGCAATCCATTCCGTTACGTTCATTGGCTCAGAGATTTTTCCAGTATTCGAAGGTGACATGACCGAGAGCTATCTGGTACCAATGGTAAAAGGGTCCTTGGTAAGGGCAGGATGACCCTCCCCCAAGACCACAGATTTTCAATCCACATTTACTCTTCCAGCCTACCAGCGGAGCTATTACTTCTGCTTTTGCATCTGCTTTTGCATGCTTTTGCCCCGTCTCTTCTGGGACGAAGGCCTTAGCCCTGCTTCGGCACAGCGCCTTGATTCGCGCAGATGAACAGAACGCGCAGCAGGCGCGCTGAGCGGCGTTTTGCGTTTTGCGTTGATTTGGATAGAGCATGAGCTGATCACAAAATAAGCAACTCAGTACTCGTTGGCCCTCCCCGTTTGGAAGAGTTGGAAGGTAGAAGACCTACAACCTTATGTTTCTTCTGCATGTTCTCCCTCTTGATATCCTTGCAGTTGGTTGTTTTGAAGTTCTAACATGCTCTAGCATGGGTCAGATGCTCATGCAGCCGTCAAATGACGAAGCCACCTAGTTAAACAGCGCCAACAGGCTGGCAGGTGTGTTTCTCTGGCGTGTTTGAGTTCAATGTGTTCAACATAAAATTATATAATTTAACTCTTTGCCCATGCTAGAACCATATCACTCTTTTCCGTTTGCCCTCTTGCTTGGCTTCTCGCCAGGAGCTCCATGGGCTGTGGTCAGAGTTGGCTGAAACGCACCGCGAAGCCGCGCAGCAGACGGCTGCCCTCCGCGACTTGTCGGACTTGGACGCCGAAGCCGCTTCGGGGGGCCAAAGCCTCTTTCCGAGATCCTCTGAACCCATTAAACAACCATTGAATGAATAAAAAGGATTAAGGATCCCAGCGACCCCCCATGGAGAACATGAGGGACCAAGTCTGAAGTTGTTGAGGGGCTCTCATCTTGAGACAGGCCAAGCACCTGGTCTTGAGGTCGGACCACTGAACTCCGTGAAGCTGTGGAGAAGGATGTGCTGGGTTTGAGAGAGGCAACGGATGACAGACCGAGCGATTGGATGTTGGAAGTGCATGGCATTTCGCAGTGCACATGGGACTGTTTCAAAGCCCGCGGGATTTGTTATATTTTGTTACCCATTATTAGCCAATCTATTTTTCAGGTTTTTGTTTCCAGTCTTTTTTCGACCTCTTGTGAATGGCAGACTACCGCGTGTCTCGGCCAGCAGCCGGGGTGCTTGGATGGGCTCATATGGCGGGAGAGAGCATGATGTGCATGATGTGACTCCAAAAAGAATCGACCGACTTGTTTCCTTTTTGAGCACCAAACCATACCAAACACCCCAACACCCTCCCCAACATCCTCCGTCACCCTCCTCCGTCCCCCAATGCGTTGGACATCTGAAGTGATGAGCTGTTCCAAGGCGTTGGCGCACGCAGCAAGAACTGCACTATGCAGAGGGCGTGGCTGCATCGCCACGTTTGAAGGCGAAACTAAGCGGAGGTGCAACCCTACTTGTGTGAAAAGGAAGTTGATGGAGAAAAAGTAAACATGTGTCTTCAGTTTTGAACTATTTTGGCTGTAGCTGTGCACTTCTGCAATCTGCTCTCCCTTCAAGCTGCATGCGCATTTATCGAGTTCTTTGCAGCCCTCGCATGCAGAGAGGCGCGCTCGTGCCAGCACTCCAGCTTCCAGAAGGATATGCAGGCGCATGTTCATGTTTTCTACCGCTCATACCCTCAGACTTTACAACTTACAACAAGTGAAGTTTCCCTAAACATCTAGGAACCAAATCATGAGTGCGAGCGTGAGCTATCCTGCGTCCTAGCTAGGAGCGAACTTCTCCTAGTAGCTTACTTCTCCCTTACTTAATTAAGTAGGCACGCCTGCTTAATTGAGTATGGGCGGGCTTAAACACAAGGACAACATTCTACAATATTCTACAACTCTACTATGACTCGGACTAAGGCAGCACCCCAACCCAGGTGCCTTGCCCGCTTTTTGTCGAAGGGGCAGCTTTGGGTCGAAGTTAATGGAGCGAGGTCAGTCGATCTTGGAACCAAGAACGACAAGAGCTTCTTGTTCCTAGCAGTAAGGCCAGGAGCCCCTAGTAGCGTCCTTGCTCCTAGTAGCGATGCAAGGAGCCCCGATCGTAGCTTCTTGTTCCAGAATCCCATTCGTCTTGGTTCCTAGTTGCAGTGGATGGATGTGAAAGCAGGTGAATTAATTTGGTTATTGATGGGTATCTCTAAGGTTTCTGAAGTTGATCTTTTGTGCGAGTTGCTTAGCTCTGGGTGTTGCCTGGCCGAACATTGATCAGGTGTCTTTGCGAAGCTCGCTTCAGAGTGGTCCACTCTGAAAAAAAAACGAGTGGAATTGATGAGCTGTGGGTTCAGTTCCTTTTGACTGGAAGATACTGGAAGACTGGGTTGTTTGCATGAATTATCCGTTCGTTTCCCTCCGTGATTTTGTTGAGTCAGAGTTGGTGAAAGACTTGAAGACACTGTTTGATGTTGGCGTTCCAACAGTTTTTTGCGCTCAAGCTGACTTAGCTGGGCCTCTTGGGCCCTGATTCATTGCAGAGGAGATCTCACCGAGTTGCAACTGTGTTGGTGTGAAGGATTATTCTGTTTGGTGGACTCTGATGTTTTCCGTCTACAGTACATGTCATTGCACCGAGCTGAGCCTAGAGTTTGAAAGTTGATGACTTGCTGAAAGGGATGACGCTCTGCATGGGCAGAAGGCAGGGAACGGCAGGAGGATTCGCTAAGTTCAGAGCGCTTGCAGCATTGTTCTTTTTGGGTGAGGATTGTTTGCAAAGAATTTAGAAGAACATAAGGAGCATACTAGAGATGGCCTCCAACCTAGAAGCAATTCCCTCCAACCTACTAGCGATGGCCTCCAACCTATGCTTTCTGGGTGACTGCCTTCAGGGTACCAACGCCCTCTCTGAGCCGAAACCAGCTTGGGCCTCAGGAGTATTGGTCTTTCGGATCGTGGGGATTCGGGTGTCAGAATCACGACCCAGGATCAGCTCTTTGGAAGAGGCATTGGGTTTGAATGTTCGATGGCTTTGAGTGGACCATCGAATGGTTCAAGACTCCGGTGATTCCTTTTGGACAGTCCATGACAATCCTTTGCATCTCGCAAAAAAAGGATAAATGCCAGTGACAAGGGCATCGCTACTAGTAGCAAGAAGCTACTAGGTTGGAGGCCATTGCTATTAGGTTGGAGGCCATTACTACTAGTAGCAAGAAGCTACTAGAGCTTCTCTGTGGCAGACCAAGTCGGAAGAGCTCTCCAGTCGGAAGCAGGAGTCTCCAGGGTGGACCAAGTGGATCTCATCGCTATGATTCCCAAAGACAAGAAAGAGACATAAACATAATCAACACTACAATTATTGTTTAATATATATTTTTTCATCTTTTACAGTTCACACATTTGTCTTTTTCTGATTCCCTATTGAACATGTCTCGTCGGACGTTGCGCGTTTTCGTCTTGGAGGAGCAAGCCCAGAAGGTTCGGTGCCGTCCTCAGCACAGGATTTCACCTCGCTGTAGAATTGGCACACAGATTGCTAAAAAGCCCCGGACAGATGACCAGAGCCAGCCGCCATTCTACATCCACACTTTTCTTTGCCTCATTACTACTGGAGTTTGCCAGGTGCAAGCAACCTTTGCAGCGTCGTGCTGGTGGGGAGGGGCTTTGGAGATATCACTGCAGCACCTGACTCTACATGACTATAACCTAATAGCAATGGCCTCCAACCCAAGTGCGATGGCCTCCAACCTAATAGCAATGACCTCCAACCTAATAGCGATGGCCTCACATGACTGCTTGTTGACGTTTAAGGGGAACTTCCGAGAAAACCTCTCCCACCGCTCACCTATTTCACATCGAACGCACAAGCAACACTTGAGCCTCGTGAGGTCTGGAGAATGTCGCTCCCTGCCAGGTGGGGCGAGACCGACCCACCCAAGGTCCACACCAAATGTCAAGGTCCACACAGTCCACACACACCACGTGTTCTTTTTTCTCTTCCGTGTCATTCGGCCTTTGTACACGGTGTATGGATGTGTAAGGATTTTGTGAGCCAACCAATTGGTTGTAACCTGTTGTAGCACAGCAGCCGCATTTGGGGCAACCCTCTCCCTTGACATCCAGATCCAAGAAGATTATATACTTATGGATAATTACAGAATGCCATGAATTGCTCCATCAGCCAGGTCCTCTCCGGAAAAAAGACCTCGCCCTGCAAGCCTGGGAAGCTCAGCGCTGTTCACGATGGCAACAGCCCATAGATCAACGCTTATATAGATGTTTCTTCTTTTGTTTCAATCATTCTCCATATGGAAAATGAATGAACATTCAAGTTGGCCCCCCAACCCTTTTAAGCAGCGACAGCATTCAGGAAGAAGCACCCGGTCCGCAACAAATCAGTACAGCTTCAAGCATGCTTTCTGAATGCATGTATCCAGGATGATCTCTGCTTCACCGAACAAAGAGAATGAAGAGGCATTGCCAGGCCAATCAGTTCAGAAAAGCGCCAACCTTTCTTTTGGGTTGCAGGCAGTACCTACCTGCATCGACATGCAGAATATGTTCAGCAAGCGCAAGCTCTTTGAGAAAGAGGCGGGGCTGGAGGTGCTTGGACACCATGTCCAACTTTCACACAGGTGATGGCACGTTTTGCTTGGTGTTTGATCCTGCTTGAGGCCCAAGCTGAACCATTTCCTGAGAAACCGTCAAAGGTCACGCCATGATCCTGTCCCTATAGTTCCTTTGCAACATCTCTTTAGATGACACCCTCTTCCCAGAAGTTGCAGCTTCTTGTTTCCACTTTTACTTCTTGGTCATAAGGCTCAGCAGAGCAGGAACGGAGTTTTTACAGTTACACGAGCCCGAAGCGAGTTCGTCCCGTGCGCGATGCTGGCGGCGTCGGTCCCGTTGTCCCTCCCGGTGGACCGACCGACCGTGGGAGCACTTCCTCAGCGAGCACCGGTGAGACCGAGGGGAGGCTCCGAGGCGAGGCGGGTGAGGAACATGGTGAGGCCGGTGAGCGAAGGCCTTTCGAACAATTCTAGAAGGCTTTATTGTTACTAGCGTTGGCGTCCAACCCAATAGCGATGGCCTTCACCTAGTAGCTTCTAGTGACTAAAAAGCTTCAAAGACATACTAGAAAGTTTTTTTCTTTTTTGTAGCCCGTTTCCCTTCACCCTTACTTGATTAGGTAGGCTCCGACTTAACTAAGGGCTAGATTAAGTAGCAGGAAAGTGCTCGCACGATTCACGTGGTTTCTATATATATAGATTTTTTAGGGGAAAAACAACCTTCATGTCATATTTAGATTTCAGGTACCCGAGGATAGATCTTTTGGCACTACTCGTATTTGAAGAAAGACGAAGACGAAGAAGAAGTAGAAGTACCTCGTGACCCTGGGCCGTTTATGGTTTCTTTCCTTTTTGATGTTGAGATGATCTTGGGAGGCCATGCTTGGCCTATCCGTCTTTGCCGTGGCGTTGGGAGCTTCCCAGAAGGTGCCAACTGCCATGGACATTGCTAACAGCGCTTTCTGTACTACCCACCACTCTGTTTTGGTTTCGGTCTTTGTTTGGAGTTGGAGCGCTTCTACCTTTGGCCTTCCAGTCTATTGGCCTTTCCTGCCTTTTCAGACACTCGAGTCACTAGAGTATTTTGCTCCTAGTAGCAATCAAAGACATACTGGCTTGGACCAAGTTGTCTTCTTTGGAGCAATTAACTCAGTCGCTCCCTGAGGCTTCGGTAACCTCACGGCGTGCATCCCGCCGTGAGCTGTTCTGGACACCCTTGACACTCTTGCCAGTGGCTGCAAGAGCTGAAGAGGCAGGGCTGCGGAATGCAGTAGGACTTGAGAAAGGTGATTGCTCCTATGAACTCCTCGACTCAACTACCGCCATTTTTTTGAACTCTTCGTTGCTGCCTGCAGGGTTTAACAAAAATTGGCAATGATCAGTTCAGCATCGAGCTTCCGAAGGGCTTCTCGTGGAACGAGAGTCTCAGCTGTTGAGTATCATGCCTTGATTGTTGCCCCTTGTGAATCAGAGGCAGGCAGGCACAGGGTATTTTGTGGTACTGTAACCTCAGGTGAACAACTGTCAAACAAAAGGCCTGTGATTGCTTGCTTCTATTTTCTGGACGCCACTGTTTTCATTTGTTGTCTTGGTGTCCAGCCACTTTCTAAGGAAGTTTATCCTTGCGAAGACTCACACCTTTGAGCGCAGCGTGACTGCTTCGGACCCCTATAGCAAGTGGAAGCTAAGCGTAAGCTGAAGAGTGCAGCACTCGACGTGTTTTTTGTTGATTTTCTGGATCTCTGCCCGAGAAGACTCGGCTGAATTCGGTGCCCAGGAAGGTGGGCATTACCATTGATGAGGTCTTTGCCAACAGTTTGACTCGATCTTAGTCCAGTGATATATATATATATATGGCCGTGAGTCAAAACCCAGACCGCTAATCCTTGGTAGGTTGACATCCCTAGTAACCCTAGTAGTCTATTCTGTTCATGTTCGATCGTCAACCTGGGTTCCCTGGTTTTGACCCACAGCCATACTGTATCTCAAACTGTGCCGTTGGTGTGTCAGTGTTACACCGAGCGGAACAGAGCCAATCTGTTTTCCGAGCGGAACAGGTCTGATGTTGGCTCGGCTGATGTGGTGGCTGATCGTATCGCTTCAATTGAGAAGCAGAAGGATGGGAACTTCACCACAGACGTGCTGTCGGCGAAGGACGTGAATGCTGGCGATATCCAAACCTATGTGATCGAGTACCGCTGCGATACGTCCAGAGGCACACAGACAGGTGCTTTGAGATCAGAGAAAGTTTTGCGTCAACATGACATCCAGGCTACAATCACTTCCTGGTGCGTGTCGCTCTTCAAAAAGGTCGGCTCTATACAGTGACGTCTCAGGCAGGCACACCATGACAAAATCACCATGAAGCGCACGATGCGGAATTTGGGCTTGTCGGTGGGCGTGCATACCTCATCCTACAAACACACTGTGTCGGCTGCTTTTTTTAAATACCGTCCTTGTTTTTGATGTCCAGGACGGTCACATCCCGGCTACCAATGCGGTCCGTGAACGCTTGGGGTGATTGATCCTAAACATTTGTATAAATTTAGACTTTGGTGCGTCTCAATCATCCCAAGCTCGGGAAGGTCCTCATCAAGCATTCCATGAATGTTCAAAGTGTTCACGAGAGAATGTGAGTTTTAGATACTGGTAGTAGTTTTAGCGTACATCCAGTGGATCTTGAACGAGAAACCAACTTACTCCCGGTGTTCGTCCTAATTCTTATGTCAGGCACCCGAGGAGCAGTGGTCGACCCTGGAGGAAGCCACACGGACATCTTTCGATTCCTTTAGGCCAGGTGCGTTGGTCTTGGCAAGTTTCTTAATGTCTATGAGTCGACAAAGGACACTGGATCAAAGATCGGTTGCTTCGTTATGCACCCTCATTGTCCAGCACTCACTTACTGTATCTCTCACGGAAACTCCTTGTCTTCTGTTGTTTCATGTTGTTTGGAGTCCAAAAAGAAGCATCCTTGTATATTGGGAGGCTTGCGGGGTGAAGATGGCTGACAATTCCAAAGACGTGAGCCTCGACCGAATCCCATGGGATCCCACACGATCGATTGTGCAGTTTTCGCAGTTTTCGCGCAGCCAAATCTTCGCTCCAAAGATTGGAGAGAAGATGAATGAGCTGAGCCGAAGTGGAAAAAAGGAGCCGAAGTGCTGTGAATGGTCAAGTCTTGGCACTTTGGACCTAAAAGGAGAGCATGAGCATGTGTCTTAGACCAGGGAGACCGGAGACCCCACAAAGATTCTGGAGAACGGCAAAACTAGAGGACCAAACTCATTGGGCCAGGGGGTCAATTGAAGTTCATGCTCAGTCACCCCCCAAAAAATTTAAACGTGTTGGTCAGCACGTTGTTTTTCTCCTGTGACCTCAGGTCTCCGAGGAGCAGATGTTGGTGGAGGCTCTGCGAACGGCACCCACAGGCGCACCGGCGCACGCGCGCTTCTGTCGCTGGATGTTTGCTGTGGTTTGCTCGCAGGTCAGGTGTTTGCGGCTCTTTGTGGGCTCCGGAAGGCGTGTTCTCTGGTGGGGATGGGGGCTACACAGGGTTGAGGAACTGCCTTGAGAGAATCTGCAAGGAGACAGGAACTCGGGAAGAGCCCAATGAACCAAACTTCAAGTAGCAGAAATGAAGCCTTCAAGTACTCATACCAAGTCAAACCTCTTTTGTGTTTGCCCCTTTGCCGTACCTGTACACCTCTGCCGTTGGTTTCTTCACTCTGTTTGATCGACCGTCGCTCCAAGGCGCTCGCCAGACCACGACCACCCATCGATGGAGCGCGGCCACCTGTGGTCGTCGTTGGAGCCGGCCGTTCGCCGCTAAAGGAACCCTTAACCCCTTTTTTTTGTACATAGAGACTATTGGGCACGTGACCGGTAGGCCGAGCCATCAGCCAGGGCTAAACGGACTGTCGCACACGACCAACGAAACGTGGGCCAGCCTGTCCTTTAACCAAGGTCATAATGGTGGAGTAAGCACCATTTGGGGAAATCTTTGGAAGGTAGCGAGGACGCTACTAGGTGGAGGCCATCGCTATTCGGTTGGAGTTGGAGGCCATCGCTACTAGTAGCAAGAAGCTCCTAGATTAGGTGCTCCGTTGTGGTGGTGCCGAGCTCTTGGTGGAGACACTGCGCACGATGCTGAGCATTGCCAAGGTTGCCAAGCAGTGAGACAGGGGATGTGAAAAGTTTGCTACACATGAAGCAGGAAAAATGAGATGCATACAAGAGATCAACAGGGGTCGGTGTAACAGGATGTCCAATAGATTGGCACAACATGCACATCCTCAACCTAAGAATTGCTCACGAAGCTCAATGTGCTTAGAATGAGGTTCTTCAAGCTTGATTCCAGCCGGAAAGGCTGAGGCAGGTTGGCTCCAAAATCCGTGTTGCACCGGTCACATGTTGGCAGGAAATCGGCATAGTTTCCACAGTAAAGAGCGTTCTTAGATATTTCTGCAGAACAAGTTCTGAGATTGAATCCATCTTGGCAAATGAGAAAGAAGCCAAAGGGCCCAAGGCCCTTCAGAATTCCTTCCATGTTGTAGGCAGCCTGGTGCCTAGTGCAACTAGCCAGTGGAAGCTCCGTGCAGACCCACCAACTCGTCCAGGCGCTCCTCTTCAACCGAATTCTGCACTAGATTCATCACAGTCCTGATATTTGAAGGGATCGACGGGGCCAGAATTGCACAGAATCCGCAGCGAAGCGTCTCCGAAGCGAGATGTAAAGTTTGATGTGTTCCACAGTGGTGATCTGACAATCTATTTTGTTTCTTTTGTGCACAATCTGCTTGCTGCTGTACTGTCGCAGCAAAGAGACATGTAGATTCAATTCAAACCAGCCAACCACTAGCCCCCATCCGGCACAAAAACATGCACCTGTGGCAACACGATGCATACTTCAGATCCATACTTCAGATCCGCAAAATCAAGCAACATCAGGTGTCAGCATTGGTGCACAGCAAGTGCAGTGTTTGTCTCCGAGCCATGGGTGGCGATGGCGATGAGCTTTCCTGCGCACTGGTGGAGTACGTCCGCGGCATCCGCGCGCGGAAGTGGAGCTTTCAGCTGGGGCAAAGCTACATCGTGGGACGCGCAGGAGGCTGCGTTGACATTGAGATCGATCACAACTCCCTATCTCGGAAGCATTGTTCCCTGGCAATTACAGAAGTGGAGGATGAATTAATTCTTGTGGCCCTGGACCATGGCTCCACGAATGGAACATTCATCAACAAGTCTAGACTCGACAAGGGAGTTGGGCTGAAGATGAAAGTGGCTGATGTGAAGCATTTGGTCTTTGGTGAGTGCGAAAATGGTTACAAGTTTCTGGTCAAAGAGCCAGAGCAGCCGCTTCTCGAAAAGTCAGACAAGGGAAAGATGCCCGGTGCTGGGGGGGCATCTGCAGGCCCCTCGCAGTGTGAATTGCATGTAGATGCTTGGGCCCGTGGAGGAGCTGGAGCTGGAGGAGATGAGGCTGAAAGCAAAGGCAAAGGTGGCAAAGGCGGCAAAGGCAAGCGAAAACGACCAGGTGGAGCTGCTGGAGCTGGAGCTGGGGCAGAGGCGAAGCCAGAAAAGACGGGGCCCAATCGTCGAGAACGACGCGCAGCAGCCCGTGGTGAGACAGTGGATAACTCGAAGAGTTCTTGGCGCTCAGCAGCTCCTGAGGCTTTGGCAGAGCGAGTCTCCAAGAAAGCCAGGGTGCCAGGCCGAAGCCATGATGTGAACATTGAGTGGCCAGAAGACTGGAAATGAGGCGAGAAGTCGGACACACAGGAAGCTTTCAAAGAGAAGTCCAAGTGGTGCAGTGTGAAAAAGGCCCACCTTGTACGTTGGCTTCTAATAGCGCTGATTGATTGATTGATTGATTGATTGGTTGATTGATTGATTGATTGATTGATTGTTCCGCTTCTTGCTGGCTGGATGCGAGAATCAATGCCCTCCAAACTTGCATGACATCTTGACATTAAGAGTCCAGGCAGGTGCCACCCTTGCGGCTTTAGAAACCCTGCAGTCTTCCAGCATTGCAGCGAGGCAGCGGGGGACCGACCTGTGACGAGCGTTTCGATTTCGGGACATTGAGAATGGGCTTTTGGGAGACAGCCTGTCAACACAGTGGGTCAGTGGTTCTGAGAATGACCGATTCTCTCACAGAAATCATCTAAATCTAAATATAGCATATATATATATATACATACACAAGTTTTACCTTTTTTCCCGTACAGTGGACGTGTCTGTGAGAATCTCCAAGTAGACTAGAACAGGAGGAATTCATGCCCTGCCATTGCCACCACGCAGGCTCTGACCAATTTCAGCTTCTTTGGCTTTACTTGAGCTTACGAACAGATGAAGCTTTTAGTTGGCCCTTCCCAACCACTTGCCATAGACCACCTGCTTCCATAGATCTTCCCTCCCTCGGAGACGGGTCGACAAGAACTCGCTCGCAGTTCCGCGCTCTGCGACTTTTTACTTCAGCTCTTGGCCAATGCCCTGCACTTGGCTCGGCTCGGAGGCCACACGATCGCATACGGTAAAATACGGTAAATATATATATATATAGATAGATCTGGTAGTTAGTCGTGGCAGTGTGTCTGCATTTAAATCTATGCGTAATCTCCAGGCCACATCAAAACAGCTGGCTTATGTTGGCTTCAACCTAGCTTGATGACTCATGGATGACCAACTGCCTCAGCTGTTTCTTCTTGCAGGTTTCTCATGTTGGTATTCAAGGGTTTCGCACTACTAGTGACAACCAAAGCTATGTTCTTGATTCTGTCCCTTCAAGTGGCTTTGCTCAAGACACAGACCGGGCTTTGCCAGTGTGAAGGTATCATGGCGTGGCAGATTCTGATTTCGATTCTGTTCTTGCTGATTATCAGGGCAGATGGTGGCCCTCTAGCCTATGGCCTGTGTCAAAGCGGTTGCAACGCTCTCGCAGTTGCGTGTTATGCGGCTGCTGGAAGCACCTTCGGGACGGTGACAGCGGGATTGGGCACTCCCGCTGCAATTCTGGCTTGCAATGCTGCTCTTGGAACATGCATGGCAGCATGCGTGGCAGCTGGCTGCACCCCTACGCCCTAGAGAAGGTTTTTTGAGTGGACACCGAAGTATGAAGCATTTTTGGAGAGCAAGGATGAGAAAGGCAGAGTCGAATGAATGCCATTTGCGGAACCTTAGTTAGGATATACAGTTCCCGGTTGCATTTATCTTCTCTTGCAGGCGAAAAGAGATATGCCGCAGCTCATTTCACACATTTGACAGTTGACATTTAACTTTTAATGTAATATATGTATATATATTATATATATATATCTACTTCAGCAACAGATTTGAATCATTTGACCATATCTTGCGTCCCTGAGTCAGACCCGACGGGTTGAGTTCCGGATCTTTTTCTTAAACACCAAGGTCGGCGGTGATGCGGATGGCAGCTTCCGGGATGGACTGCTTGATGCTGACATCGCCGGGTGCTGCAGTTTGTTGCACCGCCATGTTCTAATGAGTTCTATAAAGAGGTGCCCAAGTACTAAAAACATCTAAAGACCGCTGTCCACTGTTTGTGTATTTTACTATTTTGTTGTCCCTGTCCTGCATGCTTTTGGCAAACGTGTTTTTAGTTCACTGCACTGCACATGCCTTGCATTCCGAATCAGATCATTTGCCCATGCCCCTCCCTCATGCGCATGTGAGCTGTCAATACGCAATGTCACTCAACTTTCCTCGACATGGCTCCCGATGTCTCCTTCTTCGCCTCGTCCAACTCTCTGAGGTCAACGTTTTGGGGCAGCTCTTCGCAGAGGCAGCTCGCCCAACTCGGTCGCCGTCCGGCGAAGAGCGACGTCGGGCTTCGCTGCTGCGGTCATTTTCCATGCGTAGCCTGGATTTGGTTGGCTCTTATGTACAGTAACCCTTTTCATTAGCACCAACACAAGTTGCTCCGTCGAAGTAGTAATGTTAAAAATGACCGACGTGTGATGTCCCCTTCAAATTTCGATGTGATTGTGTTGTGTGCGTATAGAAGGCCTCTTACTATTGGTTGACTAATAGAGGGGATACTCGGATACCCCCAAATGTACAACCAATAGGTACATGGTATTACATGGTACCAAACCGACCCCCTCTATTCTTCTCAAAAGGACACCACTTCGGTCACATTGTAGATTGAACGATCCGCCAGCGCAGATGCCGGACTTCACCTGGACGAGCCCTGAGCGCTGCGAGGTGCTGCGAAGCTTCACTTGGCCTCTTGGACGGAACGGTCCATGGCACCGATCCATCGGTGTTGGGGGCACCGTGCCACCATCCACCGATGGATCGGATGCTGCGTGCAAAACAACCACTGGTGCAGCAGGGGGCTTGTTTTTTGATTCACACCCACATTGGGTTGGAGGGAATGGTTGGCAGCCCGGCAGTTGAGGACTTTGATAGGAATGCTTAAGCGCTTGTGGATGAATGTCCAACTTGGAGTTGCGATGTCCAACGCAATTGGCGCTAGCCTGTTTGGTCCGTACGAACTCTGCAAGCCCAAACCAATAGAAGATCCCTCCAGCATGTTGGCCTGTTTTCCAGCAGTTGTGTCGCATCTGAGGCTAATGGCCAGCCTTTGCCGGGGCATGTGGCGTGCTTAAGAACGTAAGAACCTGTTTTCGATTGGTAAGACAGCAAGAGGTTTCATACAGCGTTCCCCGACCATACGAGACCGAAAAAGTGCCCAAGTGTTGTCATTCTCACACCAAAAGACAGTTCCAGTTATTCAGTATTCTTCTTCTTCTTCCAGTTATTCTCGAAGGCAATCCCCGATGCTTGAGAAGGTGGATGCTGCCTTTGACTTCTTCCCACAGGTTCGGCTGAAGGGGCTGAAGGGAGGGATGGTGACCGGATGCTGCATAGAACACGAGCTGCACATTTATTGTGCAGGTGATAAGAACTCACGTGCGGATTTCCTGCGTTTCGTAGGCGCCCAAAGCAGAAGCGGTCCTCATGAGGTGCTCATGAGGTTGATGTTTGTGTCCGGGATGGTTTCCTGGTGGTGAAGCCGCACGGGCAGGTCCTTTCTGGCACATTCCCTGATTTGATCAGGTCCTGCTTGGCACGACCGATGCGGAGATGTTGAGCAATGCCCATCCCAAAGACCTCGAGAAGACTTGAACCTCAGATTTGCCATGATTTGCAATAGCACACCAAGGCCACCTGGGGCCTTTGTTATTTGTTGCAGGGTGCTGAAGAGGACGGAGGGGGCATCATCTGGGACGAAACATGTTTGATGAACCGAATGCCTTGGAAATATGCTTCTGGGAAGGACTCTGAGGGCTGCCGGCGTGCTGTGCGGATTTTGACTGCTGGCTTTCAGGGTGAAGAGGCCGCAGACCTTTCATGTTGTTGGTCTTTCAGACCTTCCTTTTAGTTCCAGGTGCCGACTCCACACCCTTTGCTGCAGCAGGCTCACGAATCCGGGTCAAGAGCTTGTTCAGGACGCTTGTTTGGCTGTGCTTGTATGCGCAAGTGAGACTTGACTCAAATGTTTGAGTACACTGTCTACTTGTGATGTTTTGCCACCAGAAGCTTGAACATGTATATAATTCTGTCAGAAGTCAGAAGTGGAGGATAGGCTTTCTGCACAGGTAGTTCGCTGTATGCGAATGGTTGGGGACTGGAGGCCACATTGCTGATGTCAGTAAATGAGACTCTTCAGTGGAAGCCTGCAGAATATTCATCACAGGTGCCCTTTGCCTAGTGCTGCCTTACGATTGGCAGGAGAGGGCTGTTTGAGACTCCAATGATCTGTGATGCGTCATATTCTTGCACCAAGTGATGTGGGGTTCGGAAACATAATACTTTTGTGACTAAGAAACATGTTCCACCTTTCGTGAACATACTGTCAGATTGATGCACATTCACCTTGCGCCTGATAGGCATGCTGGTTCACTTGTCAGACAGCAGCTTCACTGACGCACTGTTGGCAGCTGGACTCCTGGGTGCCAGCGGCTGAGTGCTCTTTCTGAGACTAGTCTCGAGGGCCTGCCATTTGCAGGCCATGTCTGTAGTCATGAGCTGTGTCTCGGGTGGTGCAACTGAGGCTTTGCATGCAGATCTCGTGGATTCCTACGCTCCTGTCCAGGTCCTACGCAGTGTCTCTCTAGTAGCTATCATTCAGAACAACTGCAGGGCAAACCCAAGAAACGACAACAACGCCACCTAGGCAGGTGCTCACGAATCTCAACACACACACACACACACGACACACGACACACACACACACGACGCACAGACAGACACACACACACACACACGACACACTTAGATAATGGGTTTGCAGTTAACTCTGTTCCTCAGGAAAATGGACGATGGAACCGCAAGGGGATGAAGTCAGCTTTTAACAGAATGTTCACGTGTCTGCAGAACGCGCGGCAGCTGAAAGCGGCTGAAGGAAAAAAGGTTTGGGGGAAGTATCGTGGAAAAGCCATGAATCAAAGCGAGAAAATTGGAGTAACAGCTTGGACAACAGTTCAAACAAGCAGGTGCACCAGGTTGATCTGGCTTCCACTATCACGCATAGCTTCGTTGGCATGCGTTTGCGTGATAGCCGCATGCCCCCTGCTTGTGGAAAACTGTTAGAAACAGAGTGTGACACACACACACACACACTTAGTCACAGGTTTACCCAGTAAGATAATCCACGGTGAAATGGACCGTGGAACGGAATGGTGGCTGAGCCCGCGGGAGCAAAATGTTTGAACAGTGGCGGCTTCACTTGACTACAGAAGCGCTGAGCGGCGACGCGGCTGCAAATCCGCGGTGGAAAAACGAAAGTTTAGGGGTCTATCATGAAAGGACCCAGCGGCAGGGTGGACCAGTGGTGTCATTGTTGAAAGCAGGTACGTCAGTTCCGCGTCCGGAACTGATATCCTGGTCAGCTGCCTAGAGCTTCGCTGGCGACAGCTATGCAGTGACCCTGTCTCCCCCTGCGTGAATATTTGTGCAAAAGTGGAACCTGGTAACAAACTCCTAGATACGGAGGGTGACACACACACACTCTGACATTGGGTTTGCAGTTAACTCAGTTCCCAGGTCGAAGAAAGGTGATGGAACAGAAAGGCGAAGCGTCCAGGCACTTGAAGGTGTTTTAACAAAGTGGTCTTCCTCGTGACTGCAGAACTCAGCGGTGGCGAAGCGAGCGGCGCGGTGCAGCTGCAGAAAAGACCAAGGTTTCGGGGGTGGTAGCGTGAAGAACCATGGAACCAAACAGAGCAAATTGGACAGCGTGGTCAACAGTTGCTCAGCAGGTACGTCACTGGACGTTTCCAGTGATATCAGTACCGCCACAGAAGCCTCTTCGTTGGACTGTCACTTCTGTGGGGTAGACAGTCCCCCTGCTCGAAACATTTAAGTGGAAAAAACTCTTAGGTACAGAGTGTGACACACACACACACACTTTGTATCACTTTGTGTTGGTCAGGTTTTTGCCAACTTTGTTTTGCTATTTGTGGAGAGGTGCGCCGTGATGCTGCCTGGGTCTTGGCCAACGTGGCGGCTGGCAGCTTGGCACAGGCAGGACGTGCCGCAGAGAGCGTCCGAATGTGCAGCATGTTACAATGGCATCATTGGGTAGTTGTTTTTCAAGTGACAGTCGGAACCTAGCCGCTTTAGACTCTAGACCTCTCATACAGCTCAGTTGGGCGAGTGCGAGGCCCAAAGCCTGGCTGAGCAACCTGGTTTGGTGGAAGCGCTTTGTGACCAGGGTCCCACCGAGGCGGTGAATGGGGATTGTGATTCACTCATTCCACTTCAGGGCAAGACTCGCAGAAAGTATTGACGGTCTTGGCAGATGCCTGTGGATTCCAAGTTATTGTGAGTCAATGACAATCACGTGAGTCTCAAATCAAGAGCAGTAGAGGAAATACTCGACGGGGCATATCTCAAGTGGTGAAGACATTACAGCCCCCAAAACGCCCACCGTTGTGCCTCTGCTGAAAGATCAAACGCCGCTGATGAAAGCTGCTCACGTTTGCAAAGCCGCTCAAACGTCTAGCCCCTCTGCTCTAGGTTCGTCAGGAGTGCACCTGGGCTATTCTCAATCTGTTGAAGCCGGGGACCCGATCGGAAGCATTTGCAGACACCTCTGATCGAATTGTTTCCAACAGAAAAGGTTCGATTCAATGCGCCTACATTTCTACAGTTTTGTTTGTATTGACTTGGTTGTAACGTTTGTATAGACTGAGTTGTGGGAAACATCGGCAATCGCTTCGATCCTTGCTGGGCCCGACTCTAGGCATGGTCCAGACATGTTTGTGCGCATGGGTGTTCATCGCGCGCGGAATCCCGGCTGGAAAGTAAGTGATGGTCATTACGGTTGGTCGATGTCCTTCTGGATTGACTGCTTCGAATGCTGCCCAGACTGCTCTCCATGTGTTCCAAGGGTTCCCGCTTGTTTGAGGTCCAAAGCATAGCCTTTTTGTGGACCAAGCAGTGGTGAACACTTGCAACGGGACAAATACGGGGTGATGTTCAATCATCGTCGCCTGGTCCATCTTCTAGGAGCCAGTGGATGCGGTTTCATGGCGTTTTGAGGTGGTTTGCATTCTGACGAACGCTCTTCAAGCTGACACGGTCCAGACCTCAGTGGCAACACTTGTCATAGCGGTCGACTCCAGTGCGTAGTCTGTCTTTAGAGGGCTATTCACCAGTCAATGCTTCTCAAAACCTCTATCACATTCTTGGACTGAGGAGCCTGCCCTGCAGCGGTCCGCAATGGAGCACTTGGAGTTGCTCATGCAAAAGCTGCAGACACCAGAGGCATCGCTGCAAATGGAAGCAATGATTTGAAGAGATGTCCGCAAAGAAAGACTCCAACACTTTCCAAGGAATTCAGCACCAACGCCTATCTGTTTTAATCATGTGGTTTGCAGCTGTCCGGATTTTCAACCTTATGACTCACGACTTTCGGAGGCAGGTGGCCTTGTGGGCAAACTGCAAGGGTGGGATCCTAAGAAGATGGAATTACTGTACTGATGTGAACCAATATTTGTTTGTTGTACTTTGTTAATGTTTGATTTGTCTCTGCTGTTTTTGGTATCTTGCGCTCTAGGCTGTGTCATTCGTCGGACGGTGCGATCCTGCAAAAGGCTGTCACAGATCGAAGAAGACAAGCGCATTGAGCAGCTTCAGAATTGGATAGAATAGGTGGTTATATATTCGACAGGCACGATTCCTGCTTCAGAACTTCTTCCCTTGGCAGGGAATGCCTGATGTTTCCTCACTTAGAAGCAAATCATCAAACAAAACAAAGATATTAACATTTGTTGATTTCGTGATGAAATCATGTGCCACCATGACTGAAAGCATGGTATGTGTTTCATGATATCCTTTCTGCCCCAACCGAACCACCATTAGGGGTGGGAACTGCGCACGACTTGAAGCCATGATGGAAAATAGGGAGCGCTGACTTCGTGGGCATCGCTTCGACCGATCTTCGATTGGAACTTCGAGTGTTCGATCGTCTTCCTTTCTACAGCTCCAGCTACCAGAAAGTGACATTGGTAGCGGAGCTCCCATCCAGGGAGCTCCCGCGCCACTTCGCTACAACACAACCTACACATACAACACAACCTCCACTAACTACAACTACATCCATCTCTTCTTGCCTGACGAGACCTTTGTTCTTGTCTCCTTGGCAGGTGAGTTCACGCAGTGCGGCTGTGGGACGTCCATCGTCCTGAACGATGGCCACGGCTGAAAAGGAAAAGAAGGCTGACCTTGACTTTGTGTCAGCCCGAGACTCCTACATCCCCTTGTTCGATGGTACCTTGAGTGGCTATCGTGAATGGCGCAAGAGGATTCTCATTTACTACAAGAAGATGTGTTTGAGCAAGCGCCAAGGCGAGGCCATCCTGAACTTGCTTGGTTCGCTAAGCGGAACCGCTTGGAAACTATGCGAGGACTTTGACATCGAACAAGCAGAGAACGACAAAGCACTGGATCACATCCTGACCCGCCTTGATTCTGCCTTTCGCTATGATAGTAAGGTTGAGCTTCCTGCGGACTTTTCCGCCTACTTTGAGCACCTCCAACGGCGGCAGGGTCAGACGCTCCTCCAGTTTGTGACCGACCATGACGACAAGTTGAAACAAGTTGAGAAGCACGGAGTGAAACTTCCTGACACCGTGCAAGGCTGGCACCTCCTGGCCAAATCTGGCCTGACTCGTGAGCAAAAGCAGATGATCATGACGCAATCTGCGTCCCTTGAACGTGCAAAAGTTCAACAAGCTATGTATGCAATCCTAGGCCAAGACTACAAAGGTGGCGGACAGTCTGTCAACAGTCGTTGGCAGCGCCCTTTCAACTCGACCGGCAAGGGTCGAGGCTACTTCGCTGGCGATGACAACGCAGCTGACCTCACTTGGGACAACCCGTCTGCTGAGTGGGAACCCGAGGATGAGGGCACCTACTACCTTGACGATGAGCAGGGTGATGAATGGTATGATGAATTTGATGACGATGCCGCCTACTTCCAAGAAGAGTGCGACACCCAAGAGCATGATGGTGAATTTGATGTCTCCGAGTATGACGAGGCCTATGCCACCTACACGGACGCCCGCAAGAGGTTCAATGACCTCAAGATGAGCAGGGGTTTCCTGCCCGTCGTGGCCCTGCAGGACCAATCTTCGACAGCAACTTCATCTCAAGCACCTCGACCTCAGTTCGGCAAGGGATATGGTTCTGGCTTTGGAAAGGGCAAAAAGGGCAAGTCCAAAGGAAAAGGCAAAAGCAGCACCTACCGCTACAACAAGCCTCCTCACAAACAAGCTGATCCCAAAGGTCGTGCTCGAAGCGCATTGGCTCCTGCCTGCATGCGATGTGGCTCAACTGCACACCGAACGGCTCAATGTAATGCTCAGTCCAGCACTCCAAAGCCTTCAACGACTGGTTCTGGCAAGCGTCAAGCCGTTGAGAGTGTTGCCACACTTGCAGATGAGCAGTCCATGGTCATCTTTGAGGATTCCTATGGACGCGAACGACCTGACTGTGCCATGCTAGACCCTGGAGCATCGAGCTTCCTCATGGGCAGTGGACCTCTCATCCGGTATGTGCACCACCTGAAGCAGCTCGGCTTCGACACCAATGACCTCCAGTTGAACCGCTGTGAACGGACTTTCCACTTTGGAGGAGACCACCAAAAGGTCAGCACATGGACCTGCAAGCTTCCGTTCTACATCAACAACACCTATGGAGTGGTGCAAGGATTTGTTCTGAAGGGTGAAACGCCCATGTTGATTGGACGACCTGTCATCCAAGCCCTGGAGATGACGATTGACTTCTCGCAGCAGCGTCTGAAGTTTGGTGATCACCCGTGGCAACAAGCTGTTCTTGGCAAGCACGAGGAATACCTCCTTGCTCTCACGGACACCTTCGACAGCGATCAGTTGTCAATGGAGCCAAGCTTCGACCTACAGCTTGAAGAAACTCTTGGCGATCCTGGCACCTTCGACGACTTCCTCACTGAAGAGCACATCTACCAAGTCGAAGAATCCATTGAGGACCAAGGGTCTCCCATGCCAATGAAGCGTTGGAAAACGTTGATCTCCAACTCACAGACTCAGCTGAACCGACTTCATGCCTATGTGGACAACGTGATTCGTGAAGAAGGCCATCCACCACCTCGAGTTCTTTGGGAAGTCTATGCTGGCAAAAGCAGACTCTCGCAACTGGCCGAAGCATTGGGCATGAAGGTCGAAGTCTTCTCCTTCGCCACTGGTTGGAACTTCAGCTTGGCAAGCCACCGTGCATTGTTCATGCAGCGCCTTCAAGAAGAAGAACCTGATGAGTTGTTCTTGTCTCCGTCATGTGGTCCATGGAGCAAGATGCAAAACATCTCAGCCACTACTGAGCAGAGAAAAGAAGCACTGTACACTCTTCGTGAATGGCACCATCGTGTACACCTTGGCTTTTGCAAACAAGCATACTTGCAGCAAGTTCAACATGGACGCCATGCACATCTTGAACAACCAACTCAAGCACTCTCATGGAGCACCAACGCCTTGAAGCACCTTCCAGGTCACAACGCTCGTTTTCATCAATGTCGCTATGGTTGCGTTTGCTGTGACACTGATGGAGTTTGGCGGCCCGCCAAGAAGGACACAACCATTCGCACCACGAAACGAGCTGTGGCTGAAAGCATGAACCTCCTATGTGACCATAGTCATGAACACTGTCGCCTTGAAGGACATATCCCAGGCATTGGCAAGAGAACCTCCTACATGGAAGATTACCAACCTGCCTTTGCAGCTGTTCTGGGCACCGCAATCAGTGCATGTGAACGACCTCAAGCTTGGGATGGCGCTTTCGCCGTCCAAGAGATGCAGTCCTACCTGGGCAAACTGGTCGATCTTCACGCTGAAGGAAAACAAGAAGCCTTGAGAGTGGTCCAAAAGCTGCATAGAAATCTTGGGCATCCATCCGCCCAGTCCTTGGTCGATCTTCTCACGGCCCGTGGAGCAAGTGCTACAGTCCTCTCCGTTGCTGAGAACTACTTGTGTTCGTCGTGCTTGCGCTACAAGAAGCCAAATCAAGCAGCGCCTGCATCGATCAAGGAGGCACAGCACTTCAACCAGGTCGTACAGAGCGACGTTTTCTGGATCAAGTTGGGTAAGAAGAAGATGCCTATTCTGGCCATCCTTGATGTTGCTACTCGATTTCAAGCAGCAGCCTTGTTGGACAGTGAACGCACTCAGGACTACATCAAGGCCCTTGAACGACATTGGGTAGCACACTTTGGTGTTCCTCAGCAGCTCATCACTGATGAAGGTCGTGGTTGGCTCAGCGATGAGTTTGGTCAATGGACTGATGAGCATAGCATCCTGCACAACGTGGCACCTGGCGAAGCACATGAGCGCCTTGGACATGTTGAAAGACGCCACTCCGTTTTGAGAAAAGCCCTCGAGGTCTACATGCATGATTTGAGCCTCGAAGATCGTGATGGCGTCAAACAAGCCCTGGCCTATGTTTTGCCTCAGCTCAATGCTCAGCCGACCGTTTCTGGCTACTCTCCAACGCAGTGGGTACTTGGCTATCAGCCTGCTCAACCCGGACTACTCTCCTCAGCTGACTGTGCACTGAAGACCTCTGATGATTTTGAAGAACATCTACATTGACGCAACATGGCAAAGACCGCCATCATCCAGGCGGACACCGATCGTCGTTTGAGACGTGCACTGTTGAGGAGGTATGCAGGAACAAACCAACGTCTTCTACCTGGACAGATCTGCCACTACTGGAGAGACGCTCAACAAAATGATCTGTGTAAGATCAGGTGGCGTGGTCCTGCAAAAGTGGTCTGCGTGGAGGAGAAAGACGGCATGCCATATGTCTATTGGTTGGCTCACAAAACTCAACTCATTCGAGCAGCTCCTCACCATGTGAGACCAGAGTTCAACCACCTCGAGAACACGGCAGTTGAGAACCTTGAAGATGCAAATCGTGTTCTGCAATCCTTGAAGTCTCGTGGAGTCACCCGCTTCATCGACTTGGACAAGGTCAACCGCCAGAATCTCCTCGACGTTGATGAACATGAAGAAGAAGAAGACCTTGATGAGCCGGACTCCAAAAGACGTCGACTTGAGGAACTACCGCTGGAAATTGAGGACTACACTCCGTCCATTCCAGATGAAGAATTCCATACGACTCCCGCGGAACCATCAAGTGCTCCTGACCTACCTGGACCTCCTGCAGAACATGAAGAACCAGAGACACTGGCAACAGAACCTTCTACACCTTCTGTTGTTCCAGCTCTACCTCCTTCAGCACTACCTGCAGTACCAGAGATCAGCGACATGGAGTCGGAACCTTCTGCTGAACCTGTTCCACCAACACCGCATGCAAGTTCTGAAGCTGCTCCATCATTGGATCCTGTCACTCAGGCTGCGTTTCAGAAGCCCGAGAAACCAGAGACCTTCCAGCAGCAGCGTATGCGTCTTGATCGACAGGAAACTATGTCCTTTGGTCCACAACGAACAGCACGTGCTTCAATGACTCCCTACATGAAGCCACCTCAGCCAGAGAATGCCGAGACAGTCTTTGAAGTGGAGGATCTTGATGCAGATTCCCTTCCACCTGGATGGATCTTCCAGAAGGACACCAAGACCTTGGAACTGAAGAGCTCCTTGAAAGACTTCTGGGAAATCAAGGGTGGCTGTCTCATCCGTCATCACGTGAATCCACGATCCAAGCTCTTCGACATCCGAGACCGTCGAGACCTACCAGTTCCTGTAGAAGACCTCGATGATGTGCAAGTGACGGTCTACCGTGAGCCAGGATCCAATCCTCACTCGGTGACGAACCACTTCAAGACCGAGAACATCTTCAAAAGCACCAAGAACTCCAAGAACGCTGCACCTGTTCCAAAGAAATGGATTGGTCAGACCATCTTTCAAATCACTGCCGCGAAACGACAAGAGTGGGGCATGACTTCATCATCTACAACCACATCAGCGACATCTATGCGCCTTGTGAGAAAGGCAGCCCAAGCAGCTAAGACTCATCACATCCGGCAGGTGAAGAAAGATAAAGGTGAAGTTCGTGAAAAGAATCTCAATTCAGCTGAGCTCCAACTGTTTTACGAGGCCAAGTGCAAGGAGCTGAAGAGTTTCTTTGAGAATGGTGTTTGGGAGTTCTCCTCAACCTCTGAGGCCGATCCTGATCGAACGTTGACGAGCAGGATGCTTTTGAAGTGGTCAAAGAATGCTGATGGCAGTCCGAGAGCTAAGGCACGCCTGGTGGTCAGAGGCTACAACGACATCGACGCATTGTCTGGACAGCTTGATACTGCAAGCCCTACAGCCTCGAGATTGGCCAGGTCACTCCTTTTGAGCATTTCAGCGATGCTTCGTTGGCATGGCTGGTCAGCTGACGTTGCAACTGCTTTCTTGCAGGGATTGCCACAACAGAGGAAACTATGGCTTCGTCTTCCGGCAGATCGCAATGCCATCTTGGGATGTCAACCCGAAAGTCGCATGGCCTTGATCAAGCCCGTGTACGGACAACTTGATGCACCCAGACGCTGGTGGCTTGAAGCCAAACGTCGGCTCACCCAAGAAGGTTGGCGATCTCATGAGCTTGATCCTTGCCTCTTCACGCTGCACCATGAAGAACCCTGCGGTACAGTTCGACCATGCGGTATGATCTGTCTACATGTTGATGACATGCTTGGTGCAGGAGATCGCAATTGTCAAACCTACTTGACAGCCGAAAGCCGACTCAAGGAGATCTTTGACTTTCGAACCTGGCAAGAAGACTCTGAAACCATGGAGTACTGCGGAGTGACTCACAACCGCTCCGACTTTGCCTGGTCCCTCTCCCAGAAGAACTTCATCCAGAAAGTCAAACCGGTGACCATACACCGAGGTCGTGGACCAGAAGATGAAATGAATGAACATGATCGATCACAACTTCGTGCACTGTTGGGAAGCCTTCAGTGGCCAGCAGTTCAATCACAACCACATCTCCAATGCAGTGCGAGCCTCATCAGCGGACAGCAGAAGACCAACAAGCTGAGAGCCATTATCGAAGGGAACTCTCTCCTACGCTCTGCAAAGGAAAATAGCGACATCAATTTGCGCTACGAGCCCTTCGAGTCCATTCACTCTTGGCAAGACCTCAGCAAGGCTCGACTGAGTGTGATGTTTGACGCAGCACATGCAGTGAGGGAAGACCATTCTTCTCAAGGAGGCTTCATCGCCTTCATCACGCCCGACACTGTCTTCCATGAAGAGACCTCCTACCACGTTGTTGATTGGAGATCGTTCAAACTGCCACGTGTTGCGAGAAGCAGTCTCAGTGCTGAAGCCCAAGCCGCTGGACAAGCATCAGACGCCAGCGAATACATAGCTCGATTTTGGTCTTGCATCATGAACCCCAACATGGACCTCCGTGATCGCCTCCAAGAAAAGTCAAGCTTGTGTCCAACATTGATCACGGACGCAAAAGCGTTGTACGATGCATTCCACAAAGAGTCCTCCTCAACCAGCTCCTCAGTTGACAAGAGAACATACCTGGAAATCCGGGTAGCAAAACAGCAGATCACCGAGCTGGGTGGCAACTTGCGCTGGGTCTCCAGCGAACGGCAATACGCCGATGGACTCACCAAAACAAGCACGAGATCTTTGCTGGCTGATCGTTTGCGCTATGGACGCATCAAGCTGGTTTGGGACCCCAGCTATGTCAGTGCAAAGAAGAAAACGAAAGAAGAGAGAGACAAGAGCAAACAAGAGTTCGCAAAAGAGCATAGCAAGAAGAGAACCACAACAACAGCCACAATCCACAAAACACAAACAAGCACAACAAACAACACCACACAGGCAGAACAGGAGTTCGATGACCTTGAACGGACTCCGGTTCAAGCAGTGGCGTGGAACAACACACCTTCTTCATTGAAGACTCCCTTGACAGCCTTGGTTTGCTACACCCAGGTCAGAGCCGTGTTGGCTGGCGACAACTTCATCCAGGCCTTGGACATTGACACATGCCCTGTTGAGCAAGAGTATTTTTGGTCGCCCTTGACTGTACTCTGCACGCTCCTCATGCTCTTCTCAGCGATTCTGAGCTTTGCCAGCTACAAGTTTGGCAGGTTCCTCGAGCGCTGCCATTGGCGCAACTTGGTCAACACCCGAATCCGGGTGACGACAGGTCGACATGAGAGACATGAGCAGGCCCTGAAGGACCAGCTGAGAGATCTTCATCTCCAACATGTGGAGAAGGTTTGTGAGCTCGAAGAGCGACTTGCAGAGCTGACCACGCGCAACCAGTTTTTGCGCACAGAGAACGATGCTGTGTTGGCAGAAAACCATGCCGACCAAGATGAACTAGCAGAGCTCAACGAACGGCATCGCCGCAGCTGTGCGCTCTTCACGAGAGCCTTTCGAGAGATCCAAGGGCACCTGGAAGACTGCCCGCTTGAGCATGGTGTAGTGACCACACCTTTTGGAGCCGCCTGGCATGCTGAAGAGACATGTCGCGGCACTTCCCGCTCCGGCCGTGTTGTGAGACGACACGCCTGTAGTTTTTGTGGTCCTGGCGTCCAGACGCCTTTTGTTACAAATTCTGTGAGCGGCACCACCTTGTACGAAGATTTTCAAGAGTTTGTAAGAGAAGAGGGCAGGTGCTCGTATGAAGAGTGGATTGTGGACTAATTTGGTCGAAACAACCACCGATGTTGATTTCGTGATGAAATCATGTGCCACCATGACTGAAAGCATGGTATGTGTTTCATGATATCCTTTCTGCTCCAACCGAACCACCATTAGGGGTGGGAACTGCGCACGACTTGAAGCCATGATGGAAAATAGGGAGCGCTGACTTCGTGGGCATCGCTTCGACCGATCTTCGATTGGAACTTCGAGTGTTCGATCGTCTTCCTTTCTACAGCTCCAGCTACCAGAAAGTGACAACATTCATTGCTTCAAGCACAAGATATGTTGCACGACCAGCTGCTGAGGACGACATGAGCAACAACCTTTCCAGGTCAACCTGGCTTGGAGAAACAGGTAAACTTGCCACATGAGCAGAAGGTACACTCCCGGCAAACTGGGGAAAGGAACATCATCTTCCTATCTTGGAAGGGGATCCTATTTGTTTTCGGAGGGGTGAAGACTGCCTGTGGCCAGGAGTGGCTAGCGAAGCCTTGGAGGTATTGGAGGTTCACCTAGGGTGGCTCAAAGCACAGGAGCTGCTTTTGCCAAGTACGAAAGTGGAAGATGTTGTTGCTCCAGTTTGGCCAGTTTGACCAAATGGGGCAAGTTGCAAAGCAGCAGTTCTTTGTCAACAGGACCTCGAAACCCGGTCAATGATCAAGTTTGCTCGGGCCCTGGCGATCCGTGAGGTTTCTCGGCTGCGCAGATCGAAACTTTGAGGGTGCTGCGTGAGACTGTTGCCTAAGGTGTAAACACCTGTTGCTCAAAGCGACTGCGGTAGCCATAGCCTCAAACCAGAGCTGTTCCTTGTGCTCCTTAGCCATGAGAAGGCTTTAAGATGTTTTGAAAGGTCCTGACAGATGTTCAACCAGGTTTTTGTGAAATAGTATTTCAATTGATGCAGGGCATTTGGCCACTTGAGGTCAGGTCAGCAACAGAAGGATTCGTCTCCGACGTTTTGCACGTGCAGCAGGATGATGGACAGCTGCATCTCGCGAGTCTGCCGAAACCGCAAGCCTCTCTAACATAGGAACCCATGAAACAACTCTTTGATACCTACACCAGCGACTGATTCCGGTGCTTGCCTACATTGCATTACTGCAGTGACCTGCCAGAGCAGAGACTCAGAGAGTGCAGCTGTTCAGCTAATTCAATGAATCGCAAGCACACCTTCGGTCCATGTGGCCATTGCACGCCAACCACCCCCTTTTCCGGGTGGTTGATGAGTACTTCTTCGAAGCAAATCGAAAGGATACTCATCAGAATCATGGCTTATGGATGCAGGAAGGACAACCAATTCATGTCCAAATAGAATCACTGGACAGCCTTTGAAGGCCGCCGTGGTACAGAGCTCCACAGAAAAATGCGGTGAATACTTTACGCAACAATTACTCACTGTGTCAAGCTAACAGACATTCATGAGCTTAAGCTGTACACAGATCATGAGATCATGAGACATCCTGCACAGTTTGATTCTGCAGTTGCCCTCGCGTCATGCAGCGAACCATTATGAAAGGTATTTCTCGACTCTCGACTGCCCAAGATTTGGCATTCTACTCCGCTGCCAAGAATCTCGGAGGTGGAGTAGCGTGGCGGTGACCCATGTGTCACAAGCCGTGCGCGAAGCGCAACAATGCCTTCGCCCAAAGCTTACAAGTGAAGGAAAACACAGGAAAGCAACATAGAGTAGAAAAGAGCAGAGAACATCCAGCGTGAGAAAGGATCAGAAATAATATACACGTACACCTTTGCACCATTTATCTTGGGCACACAAGTGCCTTTGTGAGGCTCGGTGAGGGTGAGGCCTCCGAGAGCAAGTGTGGAGCCCAGTCTGGCCTGGACAGAGCTTCAGAAGGCCTCAAAGATGTCAAGACATGCCCGTCAAAGAAGGTTGTGTCAGAATTCTCACTGAATTCTTGGAACCACAAGTTGCACAGACCATGAACATTGCAGCGTATTCAAGACTCGTGCAACAACTCTTGATAGAGCTGATATATATATATATATATATTGATATACTTGACTGCTTCTGCCTTGGGGAGATCATGGGAGATCTAGACTTTAAGGTCTCGGGGCCGGTTCAAACGACCAGCGCAGCTGCTGGAGGGGCTAAAGGCATCAAGCTCAGTGACAAGAGCGGAAGCAAAGCTTGCTGATCCACTGATCTAGTGGAACGATTAGACCAGGTGGTCGTGAATCCCAGCGTGGAGGTTCCCTATCGAATGATCCATCCCAGACAGTGTGATCTCCCGATTCGAACACGCAAGAAACGCAATATTGGCTCCTTTCTGACTCGCATGTTTGTGTTAAGGCAAAAGTTTCAGAGGCAGTGTGGAAACCAAAGGCAGGCTTCAGTGAATGTAGAATGTGTCGGATTATGCGAATTGCAAGAGGCAGGCAATGTTGGTTGTGTAACTGCATCAACAGCCCATGGCACTCTGTCTTTTCCTTCGGTATGTTGACACTCACGTAAGCTCCAGGCACGAGGCACTCCCATCGTCTCCATTGCAAGAGCGCGCAGCTCACTCTTTCTAGAAGAACATCCCATACAATATATCGCATGGCCAGTGTATTTATACAGCTCATTCTCATTGTTGTATCTTGTTGTTCTTGTGCGCGCTCTACTGCTTAGACTTGAAGCTGCTCCAAGTCTGCTCAGGGGACAGGGTCACGCGTAGCAGCGGATGAGGTGCCTTTGCAGATGCAATGCACTAGACATCATGGAAAACCTGCGTGTGGCCAAAAAAAAATCATTCACGGTTTTCCATGAGAAAAACATGACCGTTCGGGCGATTCGAGCGCAGCAAACATGAGCTAAAGCCTATGCCATGAGCCAGTCGTAGCGAGCATCCCTTGGACGCAGGCGCCCAGACCACCCAGGCCATATGCAAGGCCGGGTATGGGCAGCCCTCCCGGATATCGCGAGTGGGAAGCCTAAGGGGGTGCTTGACATTGCCTAATTGCCTTGCTAAGCTTCGTCGAACGCTGCTTTAACACTTAAAGAGTCTTTCCTTGTGGATATCTGAGTGCCAGTGCCCAGCCGACAACCAAACCTGACACAGTGATGACGCCAGACCTCGTGGCTTCTTCTCCGCTTTCACGACACGAAGAAGCGCTGTTTTTTCGACCCCTAAGGCCCTGGCAAGATGGGAGTCCCAGCCCGGCCATCCAGAGACATGGAGCCGCTGGCTGTTTCTGTGGCGCTATGAGCGCTGCTCAGAGCGCTGCTCAGAGCGCCATGAGACCCAGCTCCAGCCGCTCCGGCCGCTCGGGGAACTCCTATGGCTCAGAGGGTGATGGAATGGCCTTCTACAAAGAGGCCAGAAAGAACCAGAGAGTGAATCAATTCACCACAATTCACATATGGAATTGGCATGAATTGGCTTTCTCCACCGTCGTACCTCTTTTTGAGACAAAGCCTTGTAGGTTTGCGGACAAAGGTTAGCTTCCACAATGTTCCACATTGAATCCTCAAGACGTATCAAGCCATTTTTCCCCAAACAGTTTACTGTTGGGGTTCTATCTTAGAAAGAAAGAGCTGGCCACACTCACTGGCTGCGCCCCTGAACTCTGTGGCTGGGCTCTCTGTCCAGGCATTGTCCTCCTTTTGTCCTCTGTGGCTGGGCTCTGTCAGTGGCTGGGCCTTGTCCTCTTCTTGTCCTCCTCTTGTCTTGGCCGCGCCCCTGAACTCTGTGGCTGGTCTCTGTGGCCCGGGTTACTGGAGAGGAGTGTGGCCGAACAAATAGCGATGTCAATGCCGACAAAAATTCATTGATGAAGCAGTTTGCTCTTGGGGTGAAGGTAGGGCGCGCCAAGAAATCGATGTTTGACTAATATTGGTCTCAACAAATCGCTTTGAAGCTGTTTGGGGTCTATGCTTGTATAATTGTTGAAGATTCTCTGAAGCTCACCTTTGACTTCGCATGTCAGGTGCCAAACTTCTACATGGAGGGTATGAGCGACTCAACTCCCACCTGGACGGAAGAATGCCGTGCATCTTCAGTCTGCTCCAGCCCGGCTGTCTATGAGGAGTCCTTCTTACCATCACCCATCTTGCGTCGAGCTCCACCGGTGAGACAAGTCTACTACTTGTATGCCTCGCCGCTGGACTATCCACCCATTGACGTGAGGTCTGAGGTCGAGACCATCCATTATGCCTTCGTTGAAGCTTGCAAGCAATGGTGTGAAGACATGTGAAAATACATGAAAATACTATGTCACACGATTCAAGCAGCTTCAAGCATCCTCAAAGCATTGAAGGTCCATGGGGAACTCAGCGTGGTTTCCCTCCAAGATCTTCAGTACTTACTAGCGATGGCCTCCGACCTAGAATCGATGGCCTCCAACCTACTAGCGATGGCCTCCAACCTAGAAGCGTTCTTTTGGACATGAACTCTGATGTCATCCAAGGAGTCCGGTTCCAACGTGAAGCTGAATGTGGGTGTGGCCACCGTTGAATCCCTCACACATCTCTTGACCTTAGCACGTTCGGGCTTAGCCTTGCACCTCTCGGCCCACGCGGTCTGCTCCGAGAAGGCGGGCACCAAAAAGTGCGCGGAACCTGGACACCACCCGACAGTGCCCAGCGGTTGTGGGTCACGGGTCTCAATAGCTTCTAGCAGACTACTAGCTTCATCTTTCCTCTTGCTTCTGGGAGACTCTAGTAGCGATGCACTTGCGATCAGGGTCTTAGAGGTGTCAGGGTCTTAAAGGTTGGTCGGTCACTGCATTGATGTTCAGTGGAAGTAGTTGGATTCTTCCCACGATCGCCAGGGTGATGTTGGCCTTGTTCTTGAAAACCCCAATGGTTGCTCCCATGTCTTGTGGAAGAAGAACCTTGAGGACGGATGGTTGTCAAATGGAATGGATGCATTTCGATACGATATGCTGCAGCCTTTCCCTTGAGTATCCTCGCATAACCTTTGCCTCCAGAACGCCAGCCTTTGCCTCCAGGAAATCCTTGGAATGCGGGATCGAACAATGCAAAGCAACTCATTGCTCCTGGGTCCCAGAGAGATGTTTGCGGACCCCCTTCGGAACCCTTCGTAACATGTGGCGGACCTCCAGTTTGGAAGCTTGTTCAGCTCAACAGTTAGCTTGTTCAGCCATTGAAGGTATAGATTTAGATAGATGCCTATATTTATAGATAGAACATTGATTCCAACCTAATAATATGGCAATGGCCTCCAACCTACTAGCGATGGCCTCCAACCTAATACCTTTAGGAAATTGATTCCAACACGAGAAAAACATCCAAAGAATTGATTGGACTCACTGCAGAAGTTCTGACATTCTTTTGTTCCCGGCACGTAAGGCTCTTCCTGAGCACATGCTGGTCACAGGAACTGGCCCAGGTGAGAGTACAACACTTGACCAAGCAAATAATGCATCTTCATGTTTTATTTTTTTTGGTGTGTTGGACGTGTCACAGGTCTTTGTGGAGTGTGGCTGTCCGCATGTGGTATCTTTGCGGACGCGAGTCAA